TGCTGCAGCGAGTTATCGGCTCTTTTTCATTCTAATGATAACGGAATATTCGGCACTGTTGCGGAATAGGCCGGCGAAGAGTCTTTAAAGTCACGAAAAACCAGTGCCGATGAATGGAAATAAATGGCCAGCGCACCAACTGCCGGTGCGAAGATGCGTTTTTTGCACAGATCCCTGCAGTTTTTGTCGCTACCGGTACCAGTTTTTTTCGGCAAATGCACCTAGCTAACAGAATTGAGACTGGCCACCAGGGCTGTCTGAAAACATCCTCTTAAAATTCCAATCTACAAGCTTTTCAGGTTTCCGAGTTAGCAACTTACCCGAAAAAAACTCTGGCGGGCCCGTAGGTGGGTACCACGCATACCAAGGGCTGGATCTGATCTCATTAATACACACTTAGACGGGGAACATCTCTTTAAAATTCCAATCTTCTAGCTTTTCAAGTTCCCGAGTTAGCAACTTACTTGAAAAAAACTTTGGTAGACATGTACATGGGTACCACACGGGTAAGAGCGCCCATTTTGGAGATGATGCCTCGCACACGCATGTAGATTATGTTCCTAAAGTTTCAGCCCTGTAGTTTTTATAGGTCTCGAGATGAAAAATCGGTAGAGACGCACGCACACACAGAAAAGCACTCGTCAATATGCGTTTTCTGCATTGCACAGATGAAAAAATGCATAAAAACTGATTAGGGGAAAGCCGCGAAAGAGGCCAAGATGAGCTATAGTCAAACTGATTTCAAAGCATTAGTTAGAAGAGAGATTATGTGAAGCATTTTCGAAAAAAAAAAACTCACTATTGCCTTGGGAAATGAAAGGAGGGAGAAAACTGCATGAAAACAGAACTAATTCACTGCATTTTTAATTGAGAAAGCATCATTCAAAAGCTGTCTGTCTGATCTGCTCAATAAATCTATACATTTCAAATGCGGACCGCGGAAAAATCAAAAATCGCGAAAAAACCCCAGTTCCATATAAGCCAAAAAATCCACGTACCTTTCACTCGTTTTTATGTGCTTTGTGCTGCAACAGCTGCGCAGGACACAGAAAGAAAAGGACGAAAAAAAGAAAAAAAAACCAAAATTAGCAAAAAAAAAGTCTATTGTCTTTTGATTGAGAAGTGTCACACCAGAGTACCACAGTGCTACTTCCTTCTTCTTCCAGTTTCAGCAGGTGAAAGCAAGAAAACCGGAGCAAAACACAAAAAACGGGCTCACCACGCATGACACCATACCCATTTCGATGGCAAAACGTTCTTTTTCGAAATT